AATTTTATTGCAAAATTATTTTTCGTTAATTAATTATTAATAATTAATGCGTCATATTTTTAATACATCGGTGACGCCGTATGGAAAATTTATTAATTACTCGTTTTCTACGCAAAACTTTTATACTTTTAAAATTGTATCTTGAAGCTAGAACTCCAACTAATTTTCTCATATCAATTTTAATGCAAAATTCTTTCCCGTTAATTAATTATTAACGATTGTTGTTGAGAATGTATCAATCGCAACCACCCGATCTGTAACTGAATAACATTAATCATTAATAATTAATTAATGAAATAGAATTTCGCATTAAAATCGATATGAGAAAGTTGCTTGGAGTTTTAGTTTCAAGATGTAATCTTAAAGGTGTGGAAATTTTGCGTAGAAAACGAGTAATTAATGAATTTCCAATATGGCGTCACCGATATATTATAAATATAACGCGTTAATCGTTAATAATTAATTAACGGAAAAGAATTTTGCATTAAAATCGATATGAGAAAGTTGTTTGAAGTTCTAGACTCAAGATGCAACGTTAAAAGTGTGGAAATTTTGCATAGAAAACGAGTAATTAATGAATTTTCAATATGGCGTCACCGATATATTATAAATATAACGCGTTAATCGTTAATAATTAATTAAGGAAAAAGAATTTTGCATTAAAATTGATATGAGAAAGTTAGTTGGATTTGTAGCTTCAAGATGCAATCTTAAAAGTATAGAAACTTTGCGTAGAAAACGAGTAATTAATGAATTTCCAATATGGCGTCACCGATGTATTAGAATAATTATGCATTATGATGCATTAATCGTTAATAATTAATTAACGAAAAAGAATTTCGCATTAAAATCGATATGAGAAAGTTGCCTGGAGTTTTAGTTTCAAGATGCAATCTTAAAAGTGTATAAATTTTGCGTAGAAAACGAGTAATTAATGAATTTCCAATATGGCGTCACCGATGTATTAGAATAATTATGCATTATGATGCATTAATCGTTAATAATTAATTAACGAAAAAGAATTTCGCATTAAAATCGATATGAGAAAGTTGCCTGGAGTTCTAGCTTCAAGATGCAATCTTAAAAGTGCATAAATTTTGCGTAGAAAATGAGTAATTAATGAATTTTCAATACGCCGTCATAGATGTATTAAAAATTTAACGCGTTAATCATTAATAATTAATTAACGGGAAAGAATTTTGCATTAAAATTGATATGAGAAAGTTAGTTGGAGTTCTAGCTTCAAGATGCAATCTTAAAAGTATAGAAATTTTGCGTAGAAAACGAGTAATTAATAAATTTTCTATACGGCGTCATCGATGTATTAAAAATATGACGCATTAATTATTAATAATTAATTAACGAAAAAGAATTTTGCAATAAAATTGATATGAGAAAGTTGCCTGGAGTTCTAGCTTTAAGATGCAATCTTAAAAGTGCATAAATTTTGCATAAAAATCGAGTTATTAATAAATTTTCCATGTAGCGTTTCCGAAGTGGTGGGGGATGCTCTCTGTCCTTCTCGCACAATGTTGCTTTCCT